GGCTCCCCGCTCCGGAGGCTGCGGGGAGGCCGGGTTTCGTGTGGAGAGCAGATCAATTTGAGTCGCGCTTCCCCAGCAAGGCTTAACCACCGCAGCGATGTCTGCTCGGTGTCGTCTGCCGGCAGCGGGAAGGTGTCAGGGTGTCTCCAGCGCTTTAGTAAGCCGTGCGGCATCACGGGGGCCCCGCTGACGGAGAGCAGACGGGGAAAGCGCTCCAGATCCGCTCGCTCCAGGGCTGCTTCCCGCTCTGGTAGCCGAAAGCGTGGGCTATGGAGAGCCGGAGACGCGCAAAGCCCCTCCGTCAGTCATCGAGCGCCGAACCGCGTGGCTTCATGGCCGATGCGTGGTCAAGTGGAAAGCCAGGTGCCCATGGAGAGCTGGGGAACCGGCATCCCCTTGGCCGCCCCTCGCGTTATCCCCTCGGGGAAGGGGCAAGTGCCGCTCCCCTTCCCCTCTGCGCTTGGGCCTTCGGGACCACGAAGGTGCTGAAGCCACCACGCTTGGCAAGAAGGAGATGCCCAACTCCGGAGCGAGCGAGTTCCCCTTGCAGTCCGCGGCCGTGGCTTCGAGTGCTCTCTCATCGACGTTTGCAGGAGGGCTGCCCAGGGCTTTTTAAGTGTTTATCAAAATATTCTGCACTTATGCTGGGATGCAGCCTGTAATTAAAATGGTGGAGGGTGGCAAAGATTTCTCTTCGATGTAGGTTTTACGAGGCTTCCAAATGTAGAGATGAATACAGACTGCCTTTGCTGGTGCTAATTGCAGCCCCCTGACAGGAATGTAAATGCAGTTCCTTAGCACATTCTTATCTCAGCATGTGTGGGATTTACATATATAACTCCTATTAATGCTAATGGCAGCTACAGACATAATTCTTTTTGCATAGGGCTGGCACTATATTTTTATCTGAACCTGATGCAACTGGAACCAACCATCTTATATAAGTGGAAAGATCTGTAGCTTCTTACCGGAACCTTTCTGAACATTCTGGTTCATTGGAAATGTATGGAGGAAATGCAAGTAAAGGAAGCAATCCAAAACTTTGTATTGTGATACCGGCATGGGAGGTTCAAAACATTAATATGAAAAGTGTTACATTATCCAGAGGATTATCGATGAATCTGATCCTGTTTCCCTGAAAGTTTCTTTTTGTTTTTTTTTTAAATTTCATTACATCAGAAATCAAGATTGGTGATTCCTGATTAACTTGTTAATTTAGAAACAAAGAGCTTTTAATGTTTAGATGTGTTTAAGGGTTTATTGGAGTATTACTACTTAGAAAATACAGCATCTTTTTTATTTAAAGCTAGTCAGTTCATCATGATGAATCTCTGTCAGAGAGCCATGTTGCGCGTTACGGTGCTCCTGAAGCCTGAAGGGGTATCATGGTTGATATCTTCACCTATAATTAGGAGAAGTTTGCTTTCACTGGTTAGCCAAGTCCCTCGACCTTCTGTTAGTAATACCTGAAGTTTTGTGTCTCTTCTTGTTTCTAAAGCTTTTTCTTCTTCTGTTTTTTAAAATTTGTGTCTGGATGGGAAATAGCTTCTCCTTTCGGATATGATGACAACCTGCTGTGGCTACACTCAGCTTGCCACCTCAAAATGGAATTACAGTAATGCCTGCTTTCAGGTTAGAGGTTTGGGGCTCGCCGTAAGCTGATATGAATTGTCAGAAATCTATTGAGTTGGAAATTTACATCATCTGAAGCTGTCCTAGCCCTCCCTCCCATTCACTTTTGCATGTTTACATTTATGCTGCGCAAGCGAACAAGCGCAACTCATGTTGTACCAAGCTGAAAACAGACATTTTTAAACAGGACTGTATTTAGACTGCAGACAGGGTCCTTAAGTCCTCCTCCTCCTCTCTGCTGTGCTGTGGTAGTAGTCGTTAGACAAGACTGCTGAGTGACTGCCCCGTTAATTTAAAAGAAGCTAAGGGAAACATGATAGGATGTCCATGGTGGGGACCATCTTCTAAAGAAGTTGTTATTTTTTAAGGCTCCTTAGAGATGGAATCTGAGCACTAGCTATTTTAAAGGTTGTCTCTGTTTTCGTAGGATTTTAATCTTATCCTCTTTTTCCCTATGTTTTGGCTAAGGTTGGATTTTTTATCATTCAACTGGATAGTTAAGTTATTGTTTAAGGATTGTTGTGCGTATGCTAGAAGACTGTTCTGACGTGCACAGCTTATATGCTGAAGTAAATGTCAAAACCATAGAGACAGTTAGAGATAACAGAAGAATAAGATTTTGATGGCTCATTTATAATGTTGGGAAAAAGAGTTCGGTATCAGTGTATCATTGTGGAGAATGCACTGTGCTGCTGTAGTGTTAAATCCTTTACAATGGAGGAATAAAGGTTTTATATTTATATGTCACTGACTGCAAGAGAAATGAATCCGTTCCTTTCAACCTGAGAAATTTAAAGTTTTGGATAGTGTGTGAAAAATGTAAATGTTACTCAGAGATTTAGTGGCAAGAAGTGATATATAAACTTGTATTGCTGCACAGAAATAACATTTTGTAAACATAAATCTTGAATATAAAAAACCGAGAGACAGTGAAAGCAAACTTTACATTGGTAAGTATTTGTTATCAGAAAAAAATAATCCGAGTAGGTGGGACTGGCAAGTGTAGACTTGTAAAAACAGTCATAGTGACTTTCTCTTTGCATTTGGAAGAATTTAAAAGACCTATTGCTTATTTAATGAATAATTTCCAAAGGAGCTTCACTAAGTTAGTTTCTTTATAGAACAGTTACTGTATCTCAGTATGTTCATAAACAAACATTCAAATTGTATGCTATTAGGAATAAAATATATAATCCAGATTTGAATCCCAGATGGAGATGAGAACCTTTTGCTTTTGTACATTCTGTGAAACCCATTCTGTAACCTCAAAGTACCATTAAAAAATGGAAGGAACCCAATCACAGTGATTAAAAGCCCAGTACCTAATTAAAATACGGTACCTGGTTGACTCATCTTTGTGCTGGCTGTCTAAACCTGACCTTGAAGTGTGATGGGGAAAAAACCATGTGGGAAGGCGTACGTCAGCCAGAAAGAACAAGGAAATGAGTTAACTGAATATTGTTTAATGAACATTTTTCTTAACTCTTCTCAGGGAAAACCTGTAATTTGCATAGAACCTAGACACTACACTTCCCAGAGCATTCAGTAGGCTAACACCATAGGCTGATTTATAAGAAAAATACATTTTTTCCTTTTAAAGAATCTTCTTAAGGTTTAAACATGAATGCTACTCACACAGGATTTTATGATAAATTTTTCATAAATGTCTTGTTTTTCTAGTCTAATTAGTGAACGCAAAAATGTTGGCAAATTTCACATTTCAGCTAAAAAGTAGTAAAGAATTCAGGGAGTGAGTTTCCTGTTAATTGGGCATTTCCACTCCTGTCATTGTATTAGAGATGTAACTTTAGATTTTGTGTTCAGGTCTGAATGCCACTGTGTCCACGGAACTAGAATTTGGAGAATGCACAGTTACATGTGGTAAGTAGCAAAGCAGATGAATTAAACATATTGTCATTTGTTTAGGGGAAAAAAAAAGTGCTAACTGTAGCAATTTAGCAGTTGTAATTTGCTTGCCCTCGTTCACCTCTCATTGATTTCAATTGCCAATAACTATAATTAACAAAAACAATCAGGCTGATTGTCATTAGGAGTTTAGGTCAGATCTCTTGTTTTATTAATTTCACAGCCTGCAAGCTCCTATTTTAAACCAGTTCCCTACGTTTATTGGCACATGAGCTGCCTTCCCCAAAGTAACAATTTTCGCTATTTGTGAACATCTGTGAGATGTTCAGAAGATGAAAGATCTTCTGATGCTTCTCACAGATGTCTTCCCACATACAATATTGCCAAAAAATTGCTTGCCTGCAGTAGCCTGTTCTGTATTCCACATTTATACAATTTATAAATTGTGCAATGGAGAGGAGAGGTATCATTCTGGAGTAGGAAGAGAGAGAGGAAAAATGAGATGAGGCTTAAGAAGACATCTCTGCATTTGGGCTGATGATAGAAACTGCTGTGAGGTGGTAATTAAATTGCTTAGGAAGCAGTCTTAAATCAGAAATGCTATTATTTGTTTTCAGAACAAATTTAGCTTCTCATAAGACCACATTAAAAACAGAGACGAGTATTTGCCCCCATCAATCTGACGTTTTCTAGAGTATGCCTTTTTATTTTTTCCAACCACTTTTTCGTATTTCCAATGATGGAGCTTCCTTGATTGCCTCCTGTTTCACATCTTAGGACATTATGGGTTTAGGGAATTTTTTTTTTCTTTGATATACTTCAATATTTCTCTTTCTTCATTTCATAATTTCAAATCTGCTTATATGTTCTGTATGCAGATGCCATATATGTATCCCCAGACTCTTAATAACCTCACTTGCTCTGATGCACACATCTTTTGGATACTAAGAAACCGTTCCTTATGTTCCATCCCTCTAGCAGATGTCTCAAATGTTCTGTGTTTCCAGGCAATTTCACTACATTTTATCTCTGTTTTATCTTTGGTCCCTCAGAGCTGATGTTGTGGTGGGTTGACCTTGGCTGGCTGTCAGGTGCCCACCAAGCTGCTCTATCACTCCCCTCCTCAGCAGGGCAGGGGGAGGAAATAAGATTAAAAACTCATGGGTTGAGATAAAGGCAGTTTAATAAAGAAAAAGCAAAGGCTGTGCGCAGAAGCAAAGGAAACAAACAAACAAAATTATCTCTACTTCCCATCAGCAGGTGATGCCCAGCCACTTTCTGGGAAGTAGGGGCCCAGTACGCATAGCGGTTGCTTTGGGAGACAAACAGCTTAATAAAAATGCTCCCCTTTCTCTCAGCTTTTATTGCTGAGCACAATGTCTCTGGTATGGAATATATATAATATACTGGTCAGTTGGGGTCAGCTGTTCCGGCTGTGTCCCCTTCCAGCCTCTTGCCCACCCCCAGCCTATTGGCCTTTGGGGGGGTGTGGGGTGCGAAGAGAGAGCCTTGATGCTGTGGGAGCACTGCTCAGCAGTAGCCAAAACATCGGCGTGTTATCAACACCTCACCAGCCACAAAGCACAGCACTATGAAGGCTGCTATGGGGCATGTTAATACCGTTCCAGCCAGACCCAATACAAATGTTTAACCCCTTTAATAGTACAAATTACTTAGTCTTACTGACGAATTAGGAAAGGGAAGCTCTAACAAAAAAGAAAAAGGCATCATCTCGTATCTGGCATCACCTTACATCTGGAGTTCAGATCATGTTTGTAGCCTTCATTCTAGCCTAGGCTGTTCAATGCATGGCATGTTTGTCTGTTGAAAGGCTGAAAGGTAGCTTTTTGGTTCTTCCAGTAAAGCTGTAAACACTTTGTCTCCTTCATATTCCTTCTTATTCCCTAGTTTGATCTATCTAGCCCTTTATATTTTTTGCTTTCTGAACGGACTCCATTTTCTTTATTTTTTCCCTGTAATCCTGTGGCTCAGATCCATTATTCCTTTATTCATAGTCCAGGTTTACAGAGGCATTAAGGCATAATTAAAGCATATGTTAATGATGTCTTGTCATACTTGCCTCAAATTTGCCTTAGTCTCTTTGTGGTCTAATTGTTTTGGCCACTCTTACCTCTTAAATTTCTCTCATAACTGCTGGTTTTGTACTGCTAAGTATTCCGTTCTTTGTGGATCATCCCTCTTCACTCCCCGCCCTCCACCAGACTATTAATTTAGGTTTCTATAGGGTGAATTGTATTTGGGTAATTTATTTTACTGCACTGTGGCCAGTTTTCTGCCAGGTTAACTTGTATGACTTGTTAAGACTTCATTTGTTAGAGCATCTCAGTAGATTAATTTCATCATCATTGGCAGCTACTAAGGAGAGGTGGGAAAAGGAAACACGGGAATGAAAAAAAGAGCTGTCCAAAAGGAGGAGACAGAGGAGTATCAAAAGAACTTGCAGATGTAATTAAAAGAGCTTTTTCGTCAACTTTTTGAGTGTGATGTACTTCCTAAATTTTAATATTCCCGTAGGTAAGACGCAGTGAGATTTTTCCTGATCAATGTGACTACAGTTGGTCGAGCGCCCAGATTTTATCAAGCCAGCTTTCTGGGTTTTCATAGGTTTCCTGTCTTTTTTGTTAGCAAAGGACCTACATGGTACTGAAGAAAGAGAAGTGCCTTTAATAAAAGTGTCAGTTCACTGCCATTTACACCTCTGTCTCTGCATCCATGAGATGAGACATTCTCTGGAGCGGAGAATGATCCTTGTTTTGTGTCATTTTCAGTAAGTGGTGTTGTCTCCCTCTGTCACTTGAAGTACTGTTTCACGAGTTACATGACATCTCTGAAACATTCTGAAATCCACTGGTTTATATAATACGCACTTAAGGAAGGCGGATATATTATAGATTAAATATTCAAACCAATTTAATATTTATTATTCTACTGCAAAGGGAGTTTAACTCTCCTCTTTCCATGCCTCTTAATAAACAAAATGCTTGTGGAAAAATGGCCAAACCTTCAGTGTTTACTGGGCCTAAACATATTATTCTTGCCTCCCCCACAAGCTATGTCATTCCAATGAACTGTGTACATGTTGTTTGGCAAAAACAATTATAACACTTGTTTTGAATTTGTTCGTAATTGTTAAAATGAGGATGTTCCCATTGAAATGCTGATAGTGAGAGTGAACTTTTTTTCTTTGCTTCCTTGAACACTGCATGGGAATTTTCCTTAACTTTACACGCTCGTGATATAGGTTATCTCCTGTTTTTTGTCTTCAGTAGGACCCTCCAGGTTGCAGGTGGCCCTGGTGGCCAACACTTGATTTCCCCTGTGTCTCATGCAAAGCCCTATGTTACTGACCACCAGCCTCTGTGCTCTGAGAGGCTTCTTTGTGGAGGCTGTTGGTGGGATTCCTGTATCGCTCACTGTTGGTCACCCCTAGGTAACTTCAGACTCCCCAGACTTGGTGCCAGGAGGTTTTTAGCGCCTTCAGTTTCTGTTGACCTTGGTGGGAGTTGAAGACACTCAGACAGTCACAAGACTGGAGGCAGACTGAGTTGGCAGTCTGTACTGGATTCTCCGTGCCATCTGATTTGAGCATTTAAAGGCCACAAGCCTGAATGCTGTAATATTTAAACTGAATTAACTGTTTTGCAGAACTTAAATTAGTTTCATTTCAAATTCTTTTTCTGTAAGAAAAGTTTTGAATTCATTTTGAATTCTTTTTCTGACACATGATGATTCTAAGAATCTGGCTCCCTACAGCGCAGAGTCTGACAGAAGTAGATGTTGTCTTGAAATCTTAGATACCAACATGGGATAGCTTTAGCAGGCACTCTGAGAAGATCTGTTTTGCCTGGTATTTGGTAGATAGATCACATTAACATCCAGGATAAAGAAAGAGAAAGCAAAAACAGAGTTTGAAGGAAATGAAGAAATGCAGAGTGAAAGATCATTTTTTTCCCCCAAAGGTATTGGCATTCGAGAAGTTCTGTTAACCAGTGGATGCCCTGGAACCGAAGCAAAATGCATTGTCCGCGTGGAGGAATTTTTTTGCGTGGAGAAATGCCGGGGGCCAGTAGACTGTGGATGTAAGTGGAACACTGTGATACCATAATCTAGAGCACATAAGTTGATTCGAAGGAAACATCCTTATTCTCTTTTAGTGTGGTGGAAATGGAATGAAGTGATTGCATTCCACCCTCCAATTACCCTGTTAAGCAATCCAGTAATGCTTCAGATCTCACTTCTGTACTGATGTGCGCTTGATTTCAAGTCCCTGTAAAATACCGTTTTTCTGCTATGTACTTTGTTCTAGACATTAGACCAAGCAAAAAGTATTTGAGGTAATTTTAAGGGAAAGGATAATTTCCAAGTAACATTCTGTGGTTTGGAGAATTACGAACTTTATGATCTATACAGAGGTGTTTCGTGTAGTTGACAATGTACCTATTAAAAATTCCTTCCACAGGGGGAATACCAATTTCTGGGGGGCTTGCCTGCGTGAAGATGCCTTGTATTTATATACCTCCTGAAAATCGATTTAAGTACGTTTGGAAGATGTTAATTCCAAACAAGGTGAGTAACTGAACCCCACTTTGTGCAGCAAAATTGTGTACTGCATGTATTTACCACTTGCTTCATCTGAATTGTACAGACTTCTGAGCAGATGATTTCCTTTGCTGCAAATAAGCCCTGATTTCTCACTGGCGAGTTGGTAATACAAATACTTGCATGGCTCTGCTCCTTTATGTAGCTTCAGTTTCCTGTTTATGTGGGACAAACAATAATTTTAGAGACTAATCACATGTTTACTGTCACTTCAGAAAAATGGGACATAGTGGCTGGTGAGTGTATACATGTCAGCAAGTCACAACCACGTTTCCCCCCAGTTTTTCAGGTAGGAGGTGCTGAAGAGATGGGAGGAATTTTCCCAGGGGCCAAGAGGTCCTGACAGGCTGAAAGCTGCTGGAGCACTTTTCTGCGCATCTGACACGATGCAGCTCGTCTTTGCAGATCTATTTGAAAAAATACAACTTTTTTTTTTCTTTTCTTTTTGTACGGCTTTGTTTTTTTTCTTCTTTTCTTTTCTTTTCTTTTCTTTTCTTTTCTTTTCTTTTCTTTTCTTTTCTTTTCTTTTCTTTTCTTTCCTTTCCTTTCCTTTCCTTTCCTTTCCTTTCCTTTCCTTTTCTTTTCATACAGCTAGACAGCACACGTTCTTCCCAACGATTCCGCTGTTATGGAAGTTTGCAGAGATACCCATTCGGTTACTTTCCAGTGTGAAACTCAAGAAAATGGAAATAGAATTGCCTCTATAAAATACACAGTCTACGCAACAACTGGTGAGCTCACAGAGATGCTTACATGCTTCTAGTGATATGGCCTTGTGTTTTTTATGTTGTACTCAATCTTTGTAAGATTGCATGTCACCACCAGTATATGGGCAGGAGCTTGTGCGCTGTGGTAATGACTGCCATGAAATGCAGGCTGATAAAAGAGACATATAAAAGGAAATGACAGAACGGGAATGAAGAGGTTCCTTATGGTAGGAATGAGTGTTTTCTTTATCCTTTGTAAAAGTTCAAGCTAAAATAAGGACGTTTTCCTATTACCTGCTTATTGTTTACGACACCCAGGTTGGTTAACATAAGCCACGTAGCACCATCAGCATGGGATTTGCAATTAAATCTCCTTTCCACTTTGATACTAAAACAGGAGAACAACCTTTTGGGGTTTTTCTTTTCGCAGCCGTATGGAATTTGCTTATATACAATGGATTTAGCAAAATTTAACATTAAAAATGTTCTCCAGCACTATCTTTCTCATCTCCTCTGCTAATAGGATTTTTGCTCAGCCATGTGGAAACTTCATCTTTCCAAATCAGAGAAAGGGTGAAAGTGCCTCGCTCATCAAAATTTGAAGTTTTTCCTGAAATAATGTGGATTCAGGTCTTATGCAAAATTATGGCAGACTAGAAAGAAAGAAATCCTTGGAGATACCACTCCCCATGTTTCTCGCCTGGATGTGGTTTACCTAGGTAAAACTGTCCTGGGAATCCTGCTTTTTTTCTTCTCTCTTCAGTAAGATAGGCTATTTCCTCTGTCTCGATTGAGGTCCTTTCTGCCGTTGTACAGTAACATGGAATTTGTTTATTCATTTTCTAAATCCATCTGGCAGTCACAAAACACCCAAAGCTTATTTTTTTTCCTTCCCCTTCTCCCACTATTCAGTCTCTACATTCCTTTTTGTAGAGAGGAAGCTTCATTTTTGAGACCTGAATTAGCAGAGCACATAATCTGTTTTAGGCTTAAGCACGCAAATGGTCTCATTGACTTGAGTCGGTGAGTCATCAATAGCACGACTCACACTCTTGTGTTTAAGCTGTGGCTGAGTGGTCTTGGTGAAAAGTGGTCAGATGAAACCAGATGAAACCTGCTCCACAGACATCCCTGCTGAGAACTTCTTGCAAGGATCAAGACTTATTGGTTCAGAAAATATTTACGACCATACAGACATCTGAGGAAGACAAGCTCTAAGGTTTATTAAGTAGCTTAAAAGGAATGGGTTGTTCTGCTTAGTGCCAGATCAGAGTCCTTTGGCTTGGTACTGAGGTGTGTAGATGCCCAAAGGAGTTTCTGGGCTTTGCTTCCTCTGGAGTGACATTGTTTGAATTTCAGAAATTATTAACCGTTAATTAGTATATGGAAGAAGTTCCCAGCTGCAGTTTTAATTGAGAATGGACCAGGACTTTCATCATACAGATTTAGTTTTCTCACTGTGGATGGTCAGAAGTCTAGCCAGATCAGAAGATGGCATTTACTTTTCCAACAGGATCAGGAGGAAATGAGAAAGATCCTTCTGACAGCATCAATGGACACGACAAGACTCCTTGTGTTTGGATGCAGATTTTCTTAGCTGCTGCCTTGTATTTTGTACAGCTTCTCTGTTCTCTGGGAGCATGTCTGGCAGCACTGTTCAGACTTTGGAAAGGGGTAACATTTCTGCCCACGGTACAATGGTGCCTTTCCCAGTTCCTCATTAAAAGACTTTTTGAAATGAGGGTTGGGTAATTTGAGACTTAACTTTATCATCCCTGTCAAGCAAGATGGTTTCTCTATCTACTCTGAAAAATCTAAGTCTTTCTGTTGTGAAAACATCATTTTCTTTCCCATTTCTCAATCCGGTCTCCAAGCTGAAAGCCCCAGCCTCTCCTCACAGGGGCCGTCCTGCAGCCCCTTGCTGCCTGGGCACCGGCAGCTGGTACAGCAGGCCAAGCTGTCCGTGGGGAGAGGGTCTTGTGTGGTGTTTGAGATGTGTATTTGAACCAGCTGAAAGGACAGATCAGTTTCAGTCAGGAAAAGAGTGGGTCCTCTCTGTTACCTCCTAAGTTACTTTTGGTTTTTTTAGTCCAACTGAGGCAATTCCGACCATCTCTCTGCCTCACTCAGGTTAATAAGCTTAAGTTTGTGTATTTCTTCATGCCAGAGCTACAGGAAGGGGCAGGAGAAGTAGAAATGCATTTGCTTCATGGCTGGCCTTTCTTCTGGACACTTTGCTAGAGAGAAAACCGTGAAGTCATCAACAGAGCTAAAAATTATCAAAGCAGCTGATAAGGGGCGAAGATGTTTGCTTTTGTCTCATCCTTCCTCCTTCCCAGTGCTCTGATGTTTACCCACGTGAACAGCGGTGACCAGATTCAGCAACACTGTCTGCAAGCCTGGCCCCAAAGCCACCACTTGAAAACACATAACGTGACACCTTCTGCTTCAGATTTTGAGGTGTGGGAGGTGGGAGGAAGGGAAGATGTTGCAAAAAGGCAAGTAAAACCTCACAGGAATTTTTGTCTATTTGCCATGTGGCAAAACATCATACAACTTAATTTTAAATCTGTGCACAGAGAACTTCCATGTGTCCTTTACCAGTGATCATTGCGCTTCTCAGTGACCTTTTGATGAACAGTTGTAATGACCTTTTTGCATAAGTGAGTGGTCTTTAGTAATTTGGCTCTTCCTTTTATTTTCAGAACTGTTCAGATCTATGGGTTCTCTTTGTCTTTTATAGCAAGAGAAACATAACAGGGGGGAAAAAAAAGCATTTTATCTTAATCAAAAATTATTGGGATCTCTGCAAGGAAAATCCCATCCTTTAATAACTGACATTTCTATGTGTCCTTCTTACTAAATCACTACCCTGAAACACTGAACGTTGTTGTTTCACGCTCCCGCCCATTGTGGTGTTTGATGTTTTGCGAAGACTTTGGAACTGGAAGGCGGTTTATTCAAGTTTACTAATAATAGTCCTGTGAGGAGGGAGGACTCTGCAAGGGAGGAATGCGAGAGCAGAGAAGGATCCTCATTAGGATGCTATGTGAAGGGTGTCAGCCTACTGAGATCCCAGCTGTGCTCCAAGCTCCACGCTTCTCATGAGCGAGAGAGCGAGCTTGGGGTGTGTGTCTGGTGGCACTTCTGTGAAGGTGATGGAGGCAATAGCATTTCTGTGTCTCAGAGGCCATTCTAGCTCCCATCTCTCTTTGGTTCATTTCTTGCTGATGACTTCAGTGCTAGAACTTCCTTGAGAGAGAAAAGTCACACCTCTGTAACCGGCTGCTGTACAAATGTGTAATCGGCATGGCCAAGTTGTCCTTGCACTTGCACAGAAATGAAATGGGGAATCCCAGTACCCAAGTTTAACAGCTTGGATCTCCTCTGTGTGTATGTAATCCTGCTGTCCTGTTAGCATATATCCATCCATTTTTAATACACAGAAAAAGGCTTATAGATAATCTAAAAGGGAAACAAAAAAGCTATGCATCACCACTATATTACGGGGGAGAAAAATGGTCTGCAGAGGCAAAATCTCATTCCTCTCTGCCAAACTGATACGTACTTTCTGGATCTGAAAACTGGTGGAAAGAAATCCTGTTGGCTCCTGGACCATATAAACAATTGGTCGAGCACATGCTTGTCGATGGAGCACTGCTGTACAGTCAACAACATCATCTAGGAGGAACTCCAGCTCAATGAAAAACCCAGAGGAAGAGGAGGATGAAGAGGAACAGTCCTGCTGGCAGAAGTAGTGGGTTTCCTTTGGACAGAAATGGTGCTGAAAAATCAGGTGTTCCACTTTCTTGATGTGTATGACTTACATGACTATGAATCTGCTTCTTACTGAAGAAAGGACTGAATAAAATACAGAGACAGAATTTGTATTGCTGATATTTTCTGGAGGGAAATGCTAGCAGTGGTAACAGATGCTTCTGAATGACTTTGGATTTAAGCAAATTAAAGGGAAGAGAATTTCGTGAAGGCAGAGGACAGTCCAGAGATGCACCGCACTGCATAGAAATCAAAGCAGCTTTGTTAAACTGCGGTATACAACACAAATGTAGTTGTTGGGCCACACTGCAGCAGAGTATGGGCAGCTATCCTGCTCTGGCATTTGGTGTGATCTATCTCTTTCAGCCCAAGTAAGAAAGCAGTAACTTTCTAGGGTCCTATTGTTCTGATAGCACAAAGAGGATAAAAAAGCTGTCAAGCTTCTTAGCAGCTGGTAATAGTCATGCAGATGACACTTTCGGTTTCCTTTAATCCAGCCTGTTGTCCCCCCATTGGCATAGCAGGTACGGACTGGGGTGGAGGGATTGTGTGGTGCTTGGACCATTTGAGCTGTTGGAAAGGCTTCCACAAGCCATAACCAGCACAGTCTGGGGTTTCTGCCACAGGGCTGGCCCCATATCAGCCAGCCCTGGTGGCTAAATACTAAATCTGAGCATTCCTTCTTTTCCTTCCTTCCTTCTTGTTCAGACTTGCACAAATAAATAAATGGATCTTCATAGTTTAGATTCAACAGTGCCTACATTCTAAGTGCAGTATCCCACCCCTGCATTTTATTTAAGTGCATTCTTTTTTTAGCTAAGATGGATATAAATAATCAACAGGTAAAGTGAGAATGCCAAACTTTCAGCAGGGTTGGAGACAATCTGCTTGAAACTATCAGTATGTTCTCAATCCCTTTTTTGTTTATAGAACCCCAGAAAATTTCCGGTGGAGGTGCACTCAATTTTAGGATATTTTTCTACAATGTAATTGTGCAATATATGTGATAGTGATTTTCTTTGTCATTCTCTATAGTGAACCACAGACCCTCAGTGGGCTGTAGACTTCAGGTTGAAACTCATTGAACTAGACTTTGAATGTTTCAAAAACGAATCGTTCTTCCTACTTTTACTAAGCTAAGTGGGCTTTTTTAAAAAGTTGGTGTAAATACATCTTTGTAACCCTAACTATAAGCTGAAAATGTTTTTAAGGCATATTCTGGCTGTGGCAAAATTCTCACTGACTAATTGGGAGTGTTGCCTGGACTTTAGGAGTGCAGTCAGGGACTTAAAAGTGCACCAGATGTGAATCAGTCTCTGCTCATTGTAAACCAGCTTATTGGGAAGCTGCTTTTCTGCCTGCATTTTAAACACCTGTGTTTACTTGGAAGGTATCCCCTCTGTATTATCAGGTTGTCTCTCGGGCAGCTCTGGTTCTTGACTAGTGGAACAACTTCTTGCCTAGGAAGAAAATTTGAGTAGATTAGGTATGGATAACAAAACTTGCTTTTCTCTTCAGCAGGCTCCTGTTATAGCCTGTAAACAGAGGTATTCTTAGAGCTCTAAATTCACATCTTGCCAAGGGGAAAATATATTACATTAATGAAACTGCAAAATCAAAGATAATTTTCATTAAGCTCCAAGCCCCACAACTGCATGTAATTCTAAAACAGTCTGGTCAGTGAAGTGAATTAGTCTAAAAGCAGTTAGCTATACAGTGTATGGAAGCCCCGGTACTCAGACTTAATATGTATGATATTCTCAGCCAGTTCACCATTCTTACCTGTCCTGTATCTTGCAGAAAGGTCAGGAGAATCCTGTAGATGAGCTGTGGTTTAAGATATCGGAATGAAAATTCTGCGATGCAGGAAAATGAAACTCAAATGGTGGGATGGAAGAGTTGCTTAGATACTACAGTGATGACGGTGGCACAGGACCTTATATAGATGTAGAAATGAAATAGAAATAGAAATAGAAATGGTTTTCCCGCAGTCATTCTGCTACGCAGAATTCCTACCAGCATGGACATGAATTTTGCATACCAGTCAGCAATGAGATAGCACCTTACAGTTTTAGAAACTATATGAGGGAAAGTGAAAGATAAATTAGGGTTGGCTTGTGTAAAATCGCCAAAGCTGGAGGGATCTGGGAAGATGCCTGACGGTTCATTGATTTGGTTAGATGTGACTGAACAAAGAAGGTCAATTAAATTTCACAACAAGGTGACTCGGTTCAGTTTCCAGGCATTTCTTTATCCAGTGTCAAAAAACAGATGGGGGGAGCTGGTTGGACATCTTCAGCATTTTCCACTCTTCCTGGATTGTTTGTTAGAGTCATCTCCTAACTGGTACGTCTGGTCTTAGAGAAATGCCCTAAGTAACGGCAGGGCCCTCAGTTTTCTTAGGTGATGGCTGAAGAGGTTGCAGCATTACAAAATGTGTTTTTACTTTATGTCCTTGCTACATTTTTCACTTCTCGGCTTCATGCAGTTGCTCCTCACTATGCATTTCTGGGCCATGCAAAACAACTCCTTTCCATGCTCAGTGGTTATTTGCTTTAAATAAAAGCTTTGCGGACCTAGATAGAGACAGGGAACTGAAAAGCAGCACTTAAGTCCCTGAATCCGGTCTTTTGTTAGCATACTCTCTTTCGGCTTCATTATTAGCATTATTACTGCTGCAATTACCATTGTTAGAATTCTTCTGCAGCACAGTGGTGCCTTGGTGCCTCAGCCCTGGGTGATGGAGCACCTGGTACCGGGCACAGAACAAAGAAGTCAGCCTGCCCTGAGTGGCAGACAGCCTGTGGTAATTCTTCCGTCTTTCTCGTTCATGTATCTTACATGGACATGTCTTGAAATCTTACATTAAAGCATTTCTTAAAGCAAAATGATTGTTATATTAGTCATTCTTAACATGTACCAAATAGATACTTTTCCCACTTTTAATTTTTTCCTTGTCTTTAGGAATTGCAGTTCTTTGTGTTTCACGGCTGTTGAGTGACATGTATCCCACTCCACATGCCTTGATCTCCATTTCTTTGCATCTTACTTGGTTAGATACACCTTTGCAAAGAAGGTATAAAATTCTGCTATTCTAACTTTTGCTGATTCAGTAAGAGCCTGGAGGTTGTCAGAGATGTCAGAGAGCAAATAATTAAGACCTGCTCCTTTTTAGTCCTGTCCATCAGATGAAATTCATTTGAAAATTTGAACATAATAATGACTGTGTATTTCTTTTCTTCAGAAATGCAAACAAAAAAATCAAGGAGAATAGAAGGAGGGCAATCAAGGAGAATAACAGCAGATGCCGTTCTGGTCTTTTCCCTGGTAACTGGAATCATTGTGGCTGTTGGTGCGATCTCTGCCATGATTATTCTGTGGTAGGTGGACAGCATGCAATGTGATTTACGTTTGATTTGATCAAAATACAGTATTACTGATGACAAACATGACCTGTGGTGAACTATTTAAGTTTCTCTCTAGTTTAATATTTGTGTTGCCAGTAGAGAAAACAGGAACAAGCTTCTGGAGATTGGAAAGAAGTACTTTGCAAAGCACTTACAGTGACTGTGGATGGACAGGAATTATTCAGAGCAATTTATGTAAACCTGCTTAAAGGTATGTTTTTGTTTAATTCTTTTGTCCATTTCAGGAGTGTTGTAAAATCTGTTTGGGAATTAAAATCTGGACAACACAACCAAGACAAGAAACTAGCCAACAGAAGTTCACTGAGTAATGTGGAATAAATAGCCCCCTGCTCGGGATCCGCATTGGCCTTTCGAGGAATTGGAGTCTCCACCTGCAGCTACAGTGTTCTCACCATCTGCATTAGCCGTAATACAAGAAGTGCCAGAGCCCTCACTCACAGAGGATGAAATATAGAAGTCCTTCCAGGACTTACATAATGAACAGAAATAGAAAGAAAGAATTTGATTACATAGAAATACAATATAAAGAAGATTAAAATATGTTTGAAATACTGGTTTTAAGAAGTACTTTTTCCAGTTCATTCATTGTCTTGGATTACTGAACTGTAAGTGAAATGGGTAAAAATACTTCTGTTTTAAGGTGGACATCATTCCCCATGTAGTTTAATAGTCTGAGCACCTCCGAACTGGAGAACCAAATCAAAACTTTTGTGAGGATGTTGAAATTAATATATTTAACATCTTAAATTTTTTTTAAGATGTTAATCTAGACGAAATGAAACTAGGCATATAGTCTAGACAGAGACCAGTTTTTTGTGAAGTGGTCCTTATCTCCTTGATGATCTTCAAGCACAGCACCTACTATGTAATCACTATAATCCAGTTTCTTCTTGACACATGGAAGGATCTGTAATGGTAGGGAAGATCATTAAAAGTCGCTTCGTAAGTTTCATTAGATTTTTACCTGCACATTCGCACATGTAACCGTTTCTGGCATCAAGGGGACCAAAGTATGTGAACAGAAGAGTAGCCCTATAGGGTCAGACTAAGGATTCATCTACCTCTGTAATCAAATCAGTGGACAAAAGAAGGATGTCTAGGGAAGAGCACAAAAACAAGACACAGCTGTATGATGTTTTCCACGTGTGTTCCTCCAGCTTCCAGGCATTTGCAGGTTTTCTAAACAAGATGCAATTTCTAAGCAGTTAGCAAACTTGAACTGATTTCTTTTCCATGGCTTTGTTCAGCATCCCCTTGTACCTGTGTAAGCTTCTGTCACATAAAAAGTCTATGGCAAGGAGAGCCACAGCACAGCCGCATGTTTTGTCCAGCTTCAACCCAATTCCTGCTAGCTTCATTTGTCATACCTTACTTCTTGAAAAGGCAGTGAAATGTCAGTCCTCACTATCCTCTCACTGAAAGGGGCTGTCTTTTAGACCTCTCACATATTCCATGGTTATTTTCTTTCTGGACTGAAAACTGCAAGATTACTTACTGATTCTTCACCCTGAAACCGTACCATACCTCTGACCATCCTTGCTGACCTTCTCTAACCCTCCTCCATTACATGACTATCTTGTTTATGAAGGTGCTTTCTGTTTGCGTAAATAAACATTGTTTGATGCAAATAAAAATCCTGAGCTGATGACATGTTGAAAAATGGACTGTGGAACTGATTAAAATGTTTAATAGATTTTATGATTAAGATTTTCTCTTGAGTATAGTAGAAGCTCTAAAAAGAGGCCAAACATTGAGCATTCCAGGACAGAGAATGCTTCTCAGTAAAGAACATAGCAAAAAAATTGCAAAAAAATAGATTGGAGGTAGTAACTCATCCTCTCAAAGAATTCCTGTTCTCTTCAGATCCTCTATTGCTGCAGATGTTCTAACTGCACCATCTGCACATCCTTAAAAAAGCATTATCATATTTTTCAGAGATACATGATTTTGTTTGCTGTTTAGCGAAAAGATCATTTACATTTTTGCAAATAAAACATCACATTCAAAAATGACGTGCACTTAATTCTATAAAAATATATGTTTTTAAAAAGGAAATGATATTTTTGGTAACACTATCATTAACTATGTCATTTTATGTCATTTGGTGGAGAAACCTAAAAGTCATGCAACATTAAGGAGAAAATGTACAGAGAACGAAAAAGCAGACAGTAACAATTTTGCAGTTCATAAAACTAGCTTACACATTCAAGGTGAGGTTTTGATCCCATGCAATCAAAGACAGCATATTGTGGTGAGTCTGGGATTAAGTCTGGAATGCTGGTCTTAAAAATAGACCAAACCCAGTTGTTACTATTCAGGAAAATGCTTCCACTGAAAGTACAGTAAATATGAAGCCCTGCCATCAGCTCTGCGATTGACTTTTGATTTCATGTTGTGATTAGTGTGCAGCATAACTGAAAGAGAAAGAGAGGGAACTGGAATATTCTTTTCCATAATGTTGCAAAGGTGCACTGTTACACAGCCATTTTGTATTTTAATAACATTCGCAAAGAACCTCCAGTCATATTTGGGTTGATATTTTCACAGAATCACAGAATGGTAGGGGTTGGAAGGGACCTCTGTGGATCATCTAGTCCAAACCCCCAGCCAAAGCAGGGTCACCTACAGCAGGCTGCACAGGACCTTGTCCAGGCGGGCTTTGAATATCTCCAGAGAAGGAGACTCCACAACCTCCATGGGCAGCCTGTTCCAGGGCTCCGTCACCCTCAGAGGGAAGAAGTTCTTTCTCATGTTCAGACAGAACTTCCTAAGCTTCAGTTTGTGCCCGTTGCCCCTTGTCCTGTCGCTGGGCACCACTGAAGAGTCTGGCCCCATCCTCCTGACCCCCACCCTTAAGATATTTATAAGCATTTATAAGGTCCCCTCTCAGCCTTCTCTTCTTCAGGCTGAACAAGCCAAGCTCCCTCAGCTTTTCCTGGTAGGAGAGATGCTCCAGTCCCCTCATCGTCCTTGTAGCCCTCCGCTGGACTCTCTCCAGTAGCTCCTCATCTTTCTTGAACTGGGGAGCTCGGAACTGGACACAAAGTTTTTTTTGCAGTTTGCACGTTTTAAATTTCCATGGTATGCTGGCAAATCCAGCAAAAAGTAATAGATATATAAGCAGAGTAGTTCAGAAAATGAAATTCAGAAACATCTGAACTAATCTCTACTGGTGAGTGTAGGGGTCCTTAGAGTAGATCAAGGAGGTTTTTAATTCTTTATGGGCTTATATTTTGTAAAATATTATTATCTTCTGCTTTCTTTTTTTTCTTATATAGCCCCTTAAAGCTACCTACAAAATAAATTAAAAACATCACTAGAAAATTTGATGCAAAAACTGTAGCACAAAATACGGAAGAGTGCGTTGCTGCTGAACAGGTAGGGTAAACAGGCTGTTCTGTTGTTGAAGCTGCAAGCAGAAACTCCCAAGAAGTGAGGAAATTCCTGAAGTTAAGTTTGCTCTGTCCAAGCAGCCATCGCACAACCACTAATTTATCATTCTCCTAGCCTAAATATAGCCTTGAATGAAATGTTCTTTGTACTAGAGGTGGTGTAAAACACATAGGAAGTGCAAATTTATTATCTTAGCAGAGCCCATAACAACCTTTCCTGACTTTTGATCCCATAATCTGAATAATATAATTATTAGTGTTGTAACAAGGTGGACGGCCATGACAGATAAAGGACATCCAGAAATAAGTGTTTTAATTTGAGTATTTTTAAAGAGGTAAAGAACATGTTAAAATTTTCTTGAACATTTCTGGCAAGAAGTATTCACCATCTAGGATATGTAACTGTACTTCGTGCAACTCCTTTTACCTGCAGTGCCTGAGAAATGTAAAGAATGTTTTCACTGTTACTTTCTGATAGTGGGCTGATTAAAAGAACCAACAAGAGTTTCTCCTTTTCTGCAGACTTAAGTATGCTATTTCTATCTCCTTCTGCTTGCTGACTACAGCGGGAACATTATCTTTACTGATCCCTCCAAGGCATGTGCCCAACTCCTGTTTAAGCCATTGGTATTTAAACTCCTGAAGTGAGAATGTGTTGCGTTTCTAAGGGGAGAAGCACAGAAGAATTAGAAGCAGAAGGGACAAAAGTCACATAAAAATATCTTCATGATCTCAGGAGTTTTTGCTTCCTACAGCAGCTTTTGGCCAGTGTAGATTAGGAAGCCCCCCTTGTCTGCTCTGTAAAGTGTGATCTGTACAGAAATCTGGGAGCTCGTAGCTTTGCCCTCATCCAGACGCCCTCCTACACCACACCTTGGAGCACCATCAAGCTCAGTTCATCTGCTGGGAAGGCCTTTTCACCTGCCTTTGCTGCACAGAGGACTTCTAATATCTCCTCCCACTACTCCAGCTGCTGGATTCAGGATACAAGGGCCAGAGCAAAGGTGAAAATTGTCATCATGCTTAAATTTAAGCTGGTGCTTACAGTCTTTTATGAACTAAGATGTCCTTGTAAATGTGTTTAAGTGATTTCCTGAATCAGGACCAAAGTGACTGTGTCATCCCTTGCTTTCATTTGCTTTGTATTGTCTAATATTGCAGCATAATCTTGTGGGCTTTGTTTTAATTTAATAGTATTTTAAACATTTCCCCACTATTCTTTCATCTTCCCTTTCTCATTCTTCTTAAAGAAAAGTCTTTTTGGAGTGCATATCTTGTCTGTATCTGAGCCACCATCTGTCTCAGGAAGTTTAGGATGCATTTATATAGTTATTTAGGTCTTGATGTATGTGCAATTTCATTTATGTATCGTCTAATAGTATATACCATAGAAAAGAATTTTTCTTCTTTGACAGCTTTACTGGCTTTTTTGGAAATGGAATTTTTTATAGTGAATTGCAGAGATTTTCATTATTGTTTTTATAACTTCATTTAGTCAAATACACTTAGCAAAATAATAATTTCTCATAGTTTTTCTTTCTTTGCTGCTATGCATACAGGAGAAAGATTGCCACAGAAATATGGGCCATGTTTTAACTGATGCTCTGTAAAATAAAATAAAGAAATGCTGGTCGAAACCCCATTCAGTGCTCCATGATTGGTGGGAAAATTTCAGCATTGTGCAACTATTACAGGAAGAAAATAAGCAAATAATTTGATTTGTGATTTTATGAATCAGAAAGCTACAGCTAAATGTTAAGTCAAAGGTACAGCACTTTATATGGGCTTTGGAAATAGAGCTCTGCAGTTTCCAGTTTATCTGTACAGTGTAGAGATGGATTTTTCAGGAGCTGAGCATTCAGCTTCTACTTCATTACGAGAATCTCGTTATATTAGGCCAATATTGTTCACTTACGATTTACTAAC